GCCCGTCCAGCCACCCACCCTGCGGAGAAGTTGAGACTTGGGCTCGCTTGGGCGCTCGAAGTGGCGCCGGGGATGAATGGAGTGCGGGTAGCGATGCTGGGCAGCGAAGGGACGGGCAAATCCGGTAAGGCGCTACGCAGGGCGCTTCGGCGTTGCGCTTGGGGCGCGCGGGCGGGTTTGCTCGCTGCAGGAGAAGGGACCTGTGCACACGTGCCCGCGCGCGCTCTGGATCCCACCCGCTGGCTGAGTACAGCGTAGGCACTTCTGAACATGAGGAACGGGTAAAAGAGTCCGCTGTGAGTTGAGCTTCGCTCCACTCCTACAAAAATCCGGGTGACCGCTAGATGGCGGAGGAAGACCCTCGCTGACATCCCGTGGCTGTCTGAACATTCTTGTCGTCGTAGCCCAGATAGAGTGGCACAAATCCTGCATGGAGGCTTTTCTTGGCAACCTTATTGAAATGTTTTGCTATTGCCTAATTCTGGGGTGGTTTTTTTTCGCTCCCCAGTCTAGGCTTCTGCCCTAGGGTTTCCTAGTGGTCTCCCATCCAAGTACTAACCAGCTGAGCACTTTTGTGAGACCGCTCAAATCAGCTGCATGCTGACCAGCAAATTAATTTTCCAGCCTTTGAAATACATTCAGTGGGTAGGGCAAAAGGTAGTTTGATAATAAGCTTATGCCATTTTTTGAAAAGTAACTTTTTCAAGTTGCAAATTGGGTAGTTTATTAATTTAGAACAGGATTCCACATTTCATTTTTTTTTAAAAAAAGTGCCCCAAATGCTAACCAGGCTGTGGTTTATATGTGGGTTATGATAAGGTACAGAGCTATACATTATGACTGTGCTATAAGTGAGATCATTATGGCTTGTTTGACAAAATATGATTAAAATCCAGGATTATTTTTAGAATTGAATGGAGTCCATCTGGATTTACCATCATGCTAAGCCAGAATGATGACTCTTTGATTTGGGTTTAGCAAGATACATGAACAAGCCAGTGTGTTTTCTGCAACATGGTTTGTCATAATACATGTGAACTGAACCGCAATTGTTTGTTTGATAAACAGTGGTTAAAATAAACTATGGCTTAGAGCAAAACACAGCTCCTGTAACTGCCTTCTTTCTAATTTTAGATTTTACTAATAATGTTCTATTTTGAGAGTGTGATGCAATTCTAGTCTAGTTTGTAGGAGCCCAAGGCATAACCTGAAGATACAGGATACAACAACCACATCTGAAATTTGATCAGTGCGTGGGTAAAAGACGGCCTGGGTGTTCTTCCATCCTGGACGATCAGCAAGCGATAGATAATCTCAAAAAATAGAGGTTCAACTCAGCTGTCTTTCGCTGCTTCTCCATTCTTCTTCCTTTCCAGCTGTTTCTGTGCAAAACAGTGTTAGCCGTGGGGCTTCCGTGGCCATCTTCGTGCAACTTGGTAGACCACGCAGGCTGCTTAATACGGATGTGCAGAGACCTCTTTTATCCATATAACTCTGAACCACTCTCAGTGGCTCTCCCATGGTTAACAGTGCCGTCTGAACATGGAGCGGCTGCCCTTTCTGTTTGGAATTTGAAACATTTTCACATTCTAGTTGGTGTGAACTGGAAAGGGGAGCGGCTTTGCATTTGCCCCTCACAAGGTAGAAGGGAAGAGTTGAGTCAGCTGAGTAATTTAACAGGCTTTAATGTCGGCCTATCCAACAAAAGAACAATTAGCCAGGATAAAATCCATTGCAAGTACACTTGGCTTGTTCATCCTTTTCTATGCCATGTAGAAATTTCTTTGGCCACAGACTAGCCCTTTTATTTTTAATTGGTGTGCAACAACATTTGTAGCTACGACAAATAGCTCGCATCCGTGAAACCCATGAGATCTTGTGCACGTTTACTCAAACAAACCGCCTTAAGTTACTCATAGGACCTCTGGCAGAAACAAGTAACTATTATGTATATAATAGATCACAGAGTACATCACAGCTCTGAGAGTTTTCTATATTTCTCTCCTGCCATCTAGTAGGAATCTTGATTTTTGCAGCACAGGCATGGTCCTCCTACACTAAGTGGAATAGGACTTTTTCCTGGGTGAAATATATATAGGCTTGTACCCTGAAAAATATAAAAAAATAAATATAATATAATATATAGGCTATTAGCTGGATATCCCTGAGAGGAAAAAAGGCTGCATTCCAGAGACATTTTCTTTGGAAAAACATGTCTCCAAAACTAGAGAGAGTGGTTCACTTTGATCAGTGTTTCTCAACCTTGGAGACTTGAAGATGGGTGGACTTCAACTCCCAGAATTCCCCAGCCAGCGTTCTGGGAGTTGAAGTCTACCCATCTTCAAGTCCCCAAGGTTGAGAAACACTGGCTTTGATTGTTGCTTGGTCTAGTTTCAGGGTCAACCTTTTCTGTGTCTCTTTGCTGCCATCTAGGGATTATACATATTATTGCAGTCCAGTTTGGGCAGCCTTAATATACTTTAATAAATGATAGCCAAACCATAGCCAAGCGCAATGTGTGAAGCCAGGCAGTGCCCCTATGTGGTCATCTATTTAGAGATTCTTATATGAGGTAGGAATGATCGCATTCACATAAATACCCCTTACCATTTGTGACTGTTTCACCATCTCTGGCACCAACAGTTTATTTCCGGTTGACATCTTGGGACCCAAATGAGCCTTGCATGGTTGGCCAATGAAACTGGGAAACTAGAACAAATATACAGTGTTCAGACCTGAGGCAAAGTAGAAAAGACTGGGTGTAGCCGGTCTGATGTTCAGCCTTGCTCACACGGGCCTTTTGCTATGTCTTTTCAGCCCTTACGGTGCGCTTTCTGACGAAGCGTTTCATTGGAGAATATGCCTCCGATTCTGGTAAGTTTCCACCAACTTTAAATCTTCCTTGCATCTTATTTAGACTCAGGTTATCCAGGTATTGGTGGTGGTGCAGGGGGTCATTTTATAAAATGGGGAACTAGAACATATAAATGTCCTGAGCTCTGTGCTTTCAGGAAAAATACAAAGATGTTCTGTGGCTTTCTTTAGGCCTGAAGATTAGCATCATTTCTGGCTAAATATCAGACTGAGCCAGGGAAAAAGTGGCAAGGACTTAATTAATCTTTGTTGTATTGTTTTTGGGGTATAAATACAGCTATTCTACCCAGTTTGTTTGTTTGTTCTTTTTTCTCATAGAATGCATTTATACAAAACATTTGTGTCTGGATGGAAAGCAAATTAACTTGGAAATATATGATCCGTGTTCCCAAGTAAGTTGACAACCTACTGTCAATGGCATACTCTACTTTTGAAGCAAAACATTCCTTAAAGCAGTGTTTCACAACCTTGGCAGCTTGAAGACGTGTGGACTTCAACCAAGCCAACCAACCAAGGAAGGCTGGCTGGGGAATTCTGGGAGTTGAAGTCCACATGTCTTCAAGCTGCCAAGGTTGTGAAACACTGCCTTAAAGACTTCAGACAACTCTGGAATGAAAGTGTATGTGGGGATCCCACCTAAAGCCTGAAATGAGCTCCTGTTAAGATGAAACCCACCGTTTCAACATGCTTTCATAACTCTCCCAGAATGAAAATGAAGTGGTTGAGAATTGGATTAACTGCTTCATTTTGCAACCCATGGTTAGCAGAAGGAATTCGCTGCCACAGATTGTTGGAACGGGGGTACATCTACCCGACAACCTGTGACACTGAATTTTTTTTTTTTATGCTGTTAAAAAAGAATTAGGCCTGGTCCTGAGGAACAGCTGTGTTTCTAAGTGCCTTTTTGATTACTCATATAACGATATGTGGAATGATGGTCTGATATAGCAAGGCAGAGAATTCACACAAACTCTGTAGTTTTTTAAATGGATGCAGGTTGTATAACTCAGTTCATGCACAAATTGGTTTGTGCTTCTACCAAAGTTGATTTGCTTCAGACAACCCCAGTTGGAGAAATTGATTAAATTTGGTATGGGGTCTTCCCTTAGTTGGTTTTCTAAATATCTTTGGGCTACTCAACATCTTTCAGTGTAATCTATCTCACAAGGTCATGGTGGGAATAAAACAAATAGAACCATGAAACAAATAGACCCATGGATGTTAACTTCTTTATAAGAAGCGTGAGATAAAACTTCTCATCTGAAAAAAATTAAGTACCAGCCCTTCTCATAATTACAGCGGAAATAGATGCACTGTTGGAAGACTCAGACGGTGGGGTTGGGGACAGATCCTGTAGGAGAAAATCTGTCTATGTCAGGGTTCCTCAACCTTGGCAACTTTAAGATGGGTGGACTTCAACTCCCAGGATTCCCCAGCCAGCCTTGCTGGCTGGGGAATCCTGGG